TCCAGTTATTGAACTTTTTATTTGTCTACTCATTAATATACATACACTATATTTTAATTCATGGCTGATGAATTATGTATGTACAGATTCAACATTTTTTTAAATAAGAGAAATAGAATATTTATACTTTACAAAACTAGTATTTGAAATATCTTTATTTGTTACCAGTTACAAATATATATGTGTTATTTCCTATTTGAGAATATTTTCAAATAATAGTCTTGTGTTTTTGTATAAAATTTATTAAATTTGAAATTTGAATTTGAAATTTTGAACCATTTCCGTAAAAGTGGTAATGCAAAGCTGACTATTGCTCAAATGATATTTTCTTCCGTTTCTGTTTTTTCCCGTTGTTCCTCGTTTTCGTTCCAACACACTGACAATAAGAGACAAGCAGCGAGCAAATACGAGACAAATAACGGCAGGAAATTCTTGCAATACCTAATTCGCCTCATTTTCGTAAGATCTGGATTCTCGCAGATCCAGGATCAAGTGAGGACTATTAAACAAGTGTTACTATAAATGTTATCTGTCTATTTTCCCCGAATTTTATTCGTCGTCTATTATAAAAATGAAAAATGAAGAAAGGTTGTAAGGGAGAATTACCATGATAGTTATTATTATTAGAGTAATTATATCCATTTATTTATTTTACCTAATAATGAAATATAAAAATACGAGAGTATATTTAATATCTGCTTCATTATCTGTTTCAATACAGTTTCAATACAGTTTCACTGTATTGAATCCAGATTAATGAAGCTGAATATCAGATGGACGTTAAATCGTAAAGCATGTCGTAGCTCGTAGCTGTTATATTGGGAGACTGCAGGGCATCGCGGAACTAACATTCAGAATAGAACATAACGTAACATGTCGTGATAACCTATTTGTAATTTTCAGTTTCTCTATTCCACCCAATGTAACTAGTAGAGATGAAATCAGTTAGGCTTATATGGTGCTATAATGCAATTATCACCACGCCATACCGCGCAATTTATAACACCGAATATTTAGCTATATCAAACAATACCTATGCATGCTCTTACTACTAGATGATAGGTATTTTCGGATTAAATAGATTCATATTGTTTATATTGTAAATAATTTTTACGATTTCTTGTAATATTTAATAGCAACATGAGAATAACAGTGTAATAATGATAAAGTGATACACGTTATATTTAAGATAATAATAACAAATCTGTAACATTTTGTATTACTTGATGTTTAACCTGTTTCTATTAATTAATTAGAACTAATATAATGTAAATATAATATATTTGATTTAAATAGTGGCTATGAACAATATTAGGATAATGAATAAAATAAGCGTTACAAATGAAAGATGTACCTATGTAAGTACCAATACCCATCGAATCTAACGCATAAAATTAGTATCGATTCTACCTACACCATTGATCCTTAATGGTAAAGCACCTTTCGTTGTGAGATTTTGTGCAAACAACATCTAAAATTAACCTAATTAGTTGCGTAATTAGCAACCCTGTACATAAGGATCATAGCGTCTGTATCGTTGGCTTTCTTACTGTATCTGCATTACTGAGTCTAAAGCAATTAGACGCATTAACAGATCCGAGGATGCATTATTCCGAATAATTACCATACAAATATCGTGTCTCATTATCTGAAATAATTACGCGAACATGCACTCATATGTACTCGACGGCGACAGCAACACTAGGATGGTCCATGTTGAACGTTGTTTTTTCCTGTCGCTATGTTAGCGCAAACAACGTCAATGCGTTCAAACATTTACTATCACAATACAGATATAAATAGCGAAACACTAACATCTCTGTTATGTAAGCTAATCTTTTATAATAAATTTTGACAAGTTCAATATTGAAGCAGTAAATTATAAAGTAGTAAAGTGATTAACGTATTAATTAAGATATTAAAAATTGGGTTGACTGACTGACTTAGTAGTATCAAACATACAAAATATGAGAAATTCATTTATGACAGATATTCTTTGGCCGTTTATCTTATAAATACACCTAAATGTCCCTCTTTAAAATTTTATGAATGTACGGAAACGAAAATATTCTGCAAATTAAATATGTGTAATAATATTGTGCTCGTATATTGGAGTAAAAGTAAAATAAATTATTGTTTAATTTATGTTTATATTAATTTAACGTAGAACGCTTCTGTGAAATCATGAAAATTTGTATTTATTTTAATTCTTTTATAGTTTCATACATATGAAATCAAATTCAGATAAATAATTATATAAGTTATAATTATATAAGTCAAAATTATATAAGTAATCTTTTTCATAGGTTTAAAATAATCTATTAAACAAACTTAATTATTCAAATATTTTGATAGAACAAATTTACTATGATATTAACGTATAATTTTGGCTTTTATACATTGATGAAACAAAACGGTACCAAAGATTAATATTTATATCATATTATAGACAGTGTTGCTAATGTATAATTTCATAAAAAATTTTGGGATTGTTTAGATATACTGTTAGTGAAACAAGTACAAATTTCTCTAACAAGATTAAAATATCGCTGACCATCAAGAATTTGATTTCGCATGCAAATAAAAATATATATGAAATAACGATAAAAGAATATAAATATTCCGAATTTTCGAATCGGTAGTTTAACAGGTTGCGTAAAATAGTATGCAAGTAGTGTGCACACACATATATCTATGTAAAACAATAAAACATTATGTAAATAATCCTCACACGTGAAAAGTTTAGTACCGAACTCTCATTATTCGACGTAATTATGGATCCATGCATTTCCCCGTATCCAACTGTGACGTTGTTAGACTGTCCCAGTAATGTACGGTACATATGTGTCGTGTACTGTGCGTACACTCGTTAATAAAACAACATTAACTAGTCAGTACGGTTCAATCGCTCTTCAGTGAATTAGCAGTCCAGGAATACAAGCACGTAAACGCGAAAGCATCTCTTCGTTTCGTTATCCCTGTTATTTTAAATTAATAATGTCGTATACGTTCACTTCGATTTAAGGCACCATTTCCTCTCCAATAAATATCATGAAGCTTGGAATCGAATCATTTGACAGTTGAAAACTGAAAATTATATAAATAGTACAGTAGAATCTTGATTATCCGAATTTTCTATTATCTGACTCTGTTATTCGAACGTTTCATGATCTGAATAGGAATTAGAAATTACGTTTCGCATATAAACAATTTAGTCTTCTACAAAACTTTTTGTTAATGAACAATGATACTATTGCGCAAGCAATTAAATGTGAAGGATTGCTGTTATACACATGTATATTGTTGTTATTATTGTTACAAGCGTTGTATGCTTGGACGAAAGTTAAATATGCGACAATAAAAAAGGACATGGATGACGATAGTGAACTACATTGAAGACACCATACAGGAAGAAGTGGAAGATAGTTCATAGGGATCTAGTTAATGGGGCAGACGTAGAAGTAATTCTTTCTGCACTGAATAGAACTAGCAGAATTCAATGATTGTTATAAAGCCGACTTGATACAATAATATCAGTATGTTGAAACGTCAATTGTCCATGCTAGTAGCGTTATGTATGCCTCGAATAATGAATTGGAACATGTATAATAGTAATCATTACAGTCTTTAACATTTTAAAGCATTCGAGCCTTTTGAGATAGGGTTAAAACTGTACGAGGCACAAAAGGAATGTATATACTAACTTCAAGGAATTAAATCTGTTAAAAAAGTCTGATTTAACAGATATGAAGATTTGGGACCTACAAATCGTTAATCAAATTATATTTAATTTCGACATTTATTTATCAATATTGTTTTTATAACAATTTGAAATTATATTCAACATACTAAACGAAATTAATAGAAATGTAAACATATAACATGAAAATGCTGACTTTCATAAAATATTTAATAAAATTCAATTTATTTCCATTAAAATTTTTCATTGGCACTCATTCTTTTTAAGATAATATTTCAAAGGAACGTCATCTAAATGATCTTCAGAGTTAAGACATTATTTATCCGATATGAATAATAAATGTATATAAGGTGTTTCAATCTCGGAACAGGCTGTTTGATGTCCTATTACAAAGTTGTAACAAAGATATGTTATAACGTAAGAAACAATATTTTGGTCTTCAACAGCAAAGTATATGGAATAGGATATGTATAGACCACAGCGTGTATAGAATAAGCATCAATATGATTGATATGATGAATTATAAATCAAACCGTATTTTATCAAAATGTATTGTTAGGGATGATGAAAAATTGTTATAGGGTGTAATAGTGATTATCTTTATTGTCAATCTATAATGATCAATTTAAATATTTCTTACAATTTTCTAGTAAAATTAGAAATGACCTATGTCTATATAATATCATTCTTTTATTTATATCTATAAAATATATTGATAGAATTAAAAAAAAAAAAAAAACTGGGGCACCCTGTATACGCGTAAGGTAGTTTTAAGGATAGATATCTGTGTATTACATGGATTAAAAATAAGAAACATGATTGACAGTAACATTATTGGTTTACTTTACTTTACTTGCGTGTTATAACCAGAGATGACAAATGGACGTTGCACAGAGATATTGTATGAAATATTAGTTCAGCTAGGATGAAATGTCAATAAGAAGAGTGCGATTCATTTTATCTAAATGTAACAAGTTATTATGCTCCACACAAACGTATACAAATATAACATCTGGTGAGCTTTATATAAATTTTGGAATGTTCATTCTTTTGGTTACTCAATCACAAAAAGCTATTAACTTTATCGAATTCATATAAATTTATATTTACTTATGTGCGTTTATTTTGCTTGGAGTAATTCGGAAAATTGAAAAGATATAATCAATACTAACGAATCCATTTAATCAATATTAATGAAGTATTATTATAATTTTTATATTTGTCTACGTAAATGTGTAAAAAAGTTTAATATAACTAAATGCATTCGAACTGCAATTCTATAATATTTAAGTCAAAATACCATTTTTTATAATTTCGTTGTTTTCCTTTGTCCAATAATTGATCGACTTTGGGAAAGCTTCCGAATTACACTCTAAAGTCATCCTTTGTCCCTCTTGTGCTCCAACCAATTGATTTTGAATTGAAATCATTGGACTAACTGCAAGTATAAATTAAATTTGTCTTACTGTAAAGAACATGTAATACTGTATGCATAAAGTTATAAAATTATATACAGAATGCTATAAGAGAAGATACTCACACTGTACTGTAAGCATTATTCTTTTACTGACTGTAGGTGGTATACCATTTGAAGCGATGCACAGATATGCACCCATTTGCAATCGATTTATTTTAGTGATATTGAAAATAAATCCTTCCACAATTCTCACTGTAACAAAATCAAATGCTCATTAAAATCATCATAAGGAAATTTTTTATAAGACTAATTGAACACCATTGCGAGGTATATTTTAAATTGTTTTATCATAATAACATAGTGAATTGATACTATTAGAAAGTACTTTTCCTGTGTACACACATCAAGATATTTCATTAACTTGTATTCAAATAGTAAAATTTTAGAACGTTAACGATGCATTGAAATGAAATACTTCATGTGCTTCAAAGTTGCAAAACCTTTGCGGAGTAAGAGAATGTTCAACTACGTTTCCCAATAATACACCCCTATAAACTTCTCTTTGCTACAACCGAATGGTTTTAATCAATTAAATACTAAACTCGAAGCTTTTGTAGCATCAGCGGCCAAATGGTTTTCACTACAGTATCGGATAAAAGCATTCGTACACCCTTTAAAACACAATAACTTTTTTGAAATTGGACTTTTTTAGAAGTTAGAAGGATTAGTTTACTAGATGACACGTAAAAAAAAATACACACTAAAAATTTCATCGAAACCGGTTAAAGTTGCTATGAGTTATTAACGCAATGTTTAAAAGCCGTAAAAATTGCAGTTTTCCACGACTTTCGGCCTAAAATTTAAAAGCGCGTCTCACTTATGCCAATTGGTAGGATCTCGAAGAAGAAAACTCCAGTTGTTTGGGTTAATCTTAAAAAAGCTATTCTGTTTTAAAAGGTGTACGAATACTTCCGTCCAATACCGTATATCCAAACTGCAGTCTCGTACATTTTACGTTTAGACTATGTTTTTCTTTTTAGAAGTCACAGTAGACTCGTATAAAAAGCGAATCTGACTTCTTCTTTTTCTGTTTTTAAGTGCAATTATACATATACATACATAACTTTTTTCTACGTTTCGCTTTAGTTATATATTGCGATGGAATATTACATGTTATATGGTGGTATTCATACACAGGATGTTTTTAATGAAAAAAAATACTACAGAAACATGAAAAGAACTATTACTACTACAGTTGTTTGTGACAATGAACTTTGAAAATGATCAATCTTTATATGACTTTTAAAGTCCATAAATATTAATAACAATATATATCAAATATTAAATAATTGTCAAATATTTTATTAATTCATTAATTTACGAATATTTTATTTAATTCATTAATGCGTACTGATTGATGGATTCTTAAATTTTTATACATTTAAACACTTTGTTAACTGTTTATTATAACTGTTCGTTTTATGTAATTTTAGAGCTAACAGATAAATCAAATGTATATGTAAGTATATTTATTGTCAGAAATTCTTTAATCTCAATAAAACTATATAAAACTTCTATAAACTATTGTAATATTTCATTCTATGTTTTCGAATAATTTTTGCGCAAAAAGTCTTCTTATTGCTGGTTTTAAATCATTGCTTCCATGTCTTGTAAGTATATATACAGTAACGAGCAAAGTATAAACACACTCCGCTAATTTTATGTAAAAGGCGATAATACGACTAATTTTTCAAGTGATCGGTAATGATTAGGTAACAGAAACTACAAGCTGCGTCTGATTAACGAAATGTAATAGTTCATTTTCATTAACATTAATAATGTACAGAACATTTTACAAAAATGGACATCTCAAACCATGTTTACAGTTTTGCACTTTAATTATACTCATCGAATTAAGGTTTCAACCTAGTATTTCGTCCACTTTCGACCGAATACAGTGTGCAATTTCACGTGCTGTTCTATCCGAAATAAGTCGCGTTCTACTATTTTGTGAAGAAATTAGTGCACTAACATACTTTTTTTTTATTCTTGCAACTATCGTATGACTGACACCACATTTCTCTGTAATTTGCCGCAACGACAAACCTTTATCACACAAAGAAATAATACTGTTCTTTTTATCTTCACTAAGTGGCTTCATCTTGGATTAAGCATATCAAACTGAAAAGTAATCTAACAATGGTGTGGAACAGTTGACAGCGAAACAGTGGACAATCAGTGCTTATTGACAGTTTCGTTTCCCTGACATTTACATGTTATCATAACCGTTTCTGACGATACGTGCAAAACTGTAAACATTGTTTCAAAACACAATTATTATAAAATATCCTGTACATTATTAATGTTAATGAAAATGAACTATTACATTTCGTTAATCAGACGTAGTTTGTAGTTATTGTTATCTAATCTTTACCGATCACTTGAAAAATTAGTCGTGGTATCGCCCTTTACATAAGATCAGCGGAGTGTATTTACACTTTTGCTCGTCACTGTATATTGTTCCACCAGACTTTACTAGCTAAAAATTTCAGTTATTTGGAGAAATGCGAGATCTCTCAGATAGAATTTTTCTACTCCTCAGTATGATGCATAAAATATTTGCCTCCAGGTTATTTTTTTCAAATTTTTCCTGTTTAGAAATGACTAATTATTTTGTTATGTAAAATGATCAATTTAGTTCCCATAATATTTCAGATAATAATATAGTAACTTTTTTAACGCATAATAAACCGTTATTTCTTTTATCAATACTTTTTTATAAATACTTTTGCACTTGTAGCCCATGAGACTCCTATGAAGTAAGACATGATATGACGTACTTATATATATTCATGTAGCCGTGTATTTATACATGTTATACACGTTACCGTGTACTTGTACATGTTATATATGTGTTACATGTACTTATACGTTTTGCTGGTTCTACTTTTTACATTACATTTACATATTTACATAGCTATGATGGTACTATATTCAAACATAATAGTTTCAAATTACAAAATGCCAGTTTCCATGTTTACATATTATACAGAGATTCTCTGAAAATGCATATTTCTTATGTTTTTATTAGGTTTCTAATAATACATATTTAAAAATGCAATATATTTAGAGAACATTTAGAAGAATATAAATATAAAATAGTATCTGATAATAAGTCTTCGTTGCATACATTTTTCTTGTATGTTCTTACTTATCTTCGCTATCTATGCCACATTGTACAAAATTACAATAAAGCTATACTTTTAACTTTGAACTAATCGATTCAAAGTAAAGATATCTTCTCATTTTTTCTAGATTATCAAATGTTACATTAATTAGTGTGTAATTAATATAATTTATTTTTGTAATGTAACTAAAAATTAAGCTCTTTGTTTGACTAAAAGAAAAGTTATTAAAAATTAATTTTCTAATTACTAATTCTTCATTCTTAATACATGATTAAATATAAGTTTCATTATTTAAATGTTATCATAATTTTTTCGTTTTAAATACACTATTTTTGGGATAAAAGAAATATAAGTATGGCTGTAAATATAAGCACGAATTAGACAAATAAAATGATAGTATATGCACATGTAACGTTTTTATTTGAACTTACTCGGTAAAATTTCAAAGTCGTCCCTCTTCAGGACGGTGTCGCACGTAAAAAAAGGTTGAGTCTAAAACTTTAGCTTATTTCTGCGTTAGAAACACAGCGTGAGGTATAAAAGAGAAAACTATATATTATATTCCGAACATAGTTGGAAAAACGTTGGATTAAAATGCGTAGGCATATCATGGATAGAATTAGCATTCTAGAATTTCTCTCCGTCATTCTCTTTGAATACTAATTGACTAAATTGTAATTTGTCAGTAAATTATACAGTTGAAATGTCATTGCAAAACTAAACAATTCCAAATAGTTGAAAATAATTGTTTCGATAATCATTAATAACAATTCATGAAGCAAATACTTCTTACGTTAAGTACTTTGTAAAGTTTCACGCATAATTTACCTTACTGAAAACCGTATTTATTCGTATTAACCTGTACCTGTATATAGCTTGTTCATCGATTCATTTAGCAGGTCGGCAATCATTTATGAAACAGCAGCGTTGATTCCACATCGCAAGAAATCCATAATAGCGTGGTCGAAATTAATGTTAACTGACCGAGTCGCTCTTTACTTCTGCACCTTCGATACTGCGTCCGTTCCTGGCTTTTTGTTAGTCCGTTTAATCTGAGTAAGCATTCGATGCTCTGAATGCATTCCTGGCGAATTGCATGGTGTACATAACGCTTGTCATGAATTTCTTGTTAATTGTAGTTTACTCGGAGAACGTCTGATTATATCGCGTTATAGCAAATATAATTTGGTTATATTCTCGAGTAAATGTAGAGTGTCGAATAAGAAGAATGAAAATTGAAAGTATCCCAAGACGTATGTTTTATAACACTATATTAAATATTTTTTCTTAATTAAAATGTCCTATTTATCATTCCGAAATATCCCAGAAAACTGAAATTCTATCATTTGCTTTGTGACATATTTATCTTTCCTCGTTAAATTAAAAATATTTAGTCCTTATTCTGCAACAGTCTGCATAATATAATTTTACTTAAAAAATTAAAAACATGGGAAACTAAAGTAGAATCATTACAAATTTTTTCAGAAAATCCTCGGAGGTTTCCTAATTTTGAGAAACCACAACAATACGGATGATACGTTTTTACCCACAAATGCCAAAAATACTAAAATAAAATTTATTAGGAATTAAGTATTTATATTCCACGGAAGTGGTGTTCTCGATTAAAAATAAGAACATACAGAGTCTAACATAAAGTTTTGGAAGGTGCAAGAATATTTTTCAAATTTGTATATTCTAGTGACCTAATCATAGAAAATGGTGTATGGTTTGATAACATGAATTTAAATCGAATAATTATGTGTTATTGTAATTATAAAGAAAGATTATAGCAAATATTCATACACAGAATGTGTCTTATAACACGGATTGGATTGTATGTATAAACTTTTGTTTCACTTTGATAAATGAAATTTGAATTCTGTCTTAAGCCTCGTTCAAATTAATGCAAGTAACTCGAAACCCCTTTATGTATTTGGCTAACTTGAAATATCCTTTCATATTGTCTTATCTTTATTTCATCAAGTCACTTGACTTCAAGCTTCAAGAAAGTTTGTCTGGTTTCAACTATTTCCTCATTTGAAGAGAATAGCAGTTGTTATGTTA